ATTTTCATTTTGAGAGAGTTTCACCGAGTGACCCAGGCTGGCTTCAAACTTGCAGTCCTCCCGTCTTAGCCTCTCAGAGTGCTGAGATTACAGGTGTGTGCCACTGCGTCCAGCTTGGAGACTTCTCATGGTTGAGGGAGCCTCTGTTTCGGTTTCAGTTTTGCTATCACTATGAGTAGAGTTTGCCACAGATTTAGATAAGTGCAGTAAAAAAGCCCACATGTACCACAATGCCATCTCAGGATGGCAAGTCAGAATCAGACAGAACAAGCAAATGTCCATCTAGATGGGCTTTCCTGCTGTTATTATCCCTTCTTCCCCAATGAAAAAACTGGCTCTAAATGACACAGCTGGTCAAAGATAAAGCCAACATATAGAAAAAAGGGACTCTACCTTGCCATTTCCACCTCTTGGGCCCTTTATTCCTCAGACACTAGGCTAGCCTGACCTATGGCCAACAGGCATTGGGCCTCCCTGGATGCTGGGGCCCCACAGCTGGTCCCCACTAGGCAAATCCAGTCACTAGCCAGGCATCCTGTGGCTGCTGGCATCTGCATGCTCATCTGCTTTTCCTTCAGATCCTAGAACCTACACCAAACATTTAGGATAACTTTACAGGGAAGCTGGTTTGGTCAGGACAGCCATTTCTTTTTTTTGGGGGGTGCCGGGGATTGAACTTGGATCCTTGCGCTTGCAAGGCAGGCCACTGAACCGCTGAGCTAAATCCCCGGCCCTTGGACAGACATTTCTTTTCAGAATGTACATATGGCAAGGTCTCGTAACATCGGCACTGCTGACATTTCTAGTTGGAAACAGCTCTGCTATGAGGGGCTGTTCTATGCATTGTGGTGGGCTCTTTAGTAAGAGTCCCTGGCCTGTGCCCTCTCTGTGCTATTAGAAGTCCTTCACCCGCATAGTTTACCAGCTATCCCCTGGGACTACCTTTGCTCCTGGGTAAGAACACTGTTAAACAGGGGACAGCCTGTAGTGGGTGAGCAAAGCCTGTGTCCATCCACCCTGCTTCTACGACTCACCTCCAGCTGGTTGCTCTCATCAGGAAGCTCTCTTGTCCCTCCCCAGCACCTCAGCACCCGCAACAGGGGCAGCAGGAGCCAGAGCAGTTGAGCTCCGAGTTTCTTCTCAAGACAGAGTTTTTGGCAGCCAGTAGAAGTTTTTCTGGGAGGTGGGTGGGTAAGGCAGTCCTGGTTCATCCTTGGGACCAGGTCTACTCTGATCCTTCATGCTGACCCTTTCTAGCTATAATCACTGTGGGGGCATGAGAATTCCAAGGTGATCGCAAAGTCACCAGGCTGCCAGGTTGACCACAGTGCCCCTCCAGGGCTCCAGAATATTGGATACAGAGGGCAAATCAAGGTGGGTCAAGTGTGGGCTCAGCCAACATGGTTTGGCCACCTCACACAAGCTCTTTAAGTCTCTCTTTCCTATTCTGAAAAAGGCTAGTAGTAATGTCTCCCTCCTGGGACTGTGGAGAATTCACACAAGATGCCACACGAGGAAATGTTTAAGACGGGAAACCCCTGGATGTTGGTTCAACTTTCAACCAGCTGAGGTGGGACACTCCACAAGGCAGTTCACAGCTGGCAGCTGCAGCTGCTGTTCCCCACCCGCCTGGAGGAGGATGTGGCATAGAATCATGCACAGGCCTCTGCCATGGTCCCCTGCAGGACAGCCTGCTGGATGGAACCAGATTTCTCCAGCTCTGAGGGAACCAATGGGGACATCAGCCACCTCTACACCAGATGCCCACCCTCACCTTCAATCTCCAGGTCTGTTTCTAAATCCTCCCAGGTGGGTTTCTCTTTCTCAACAGTGGAGGGAGCCTCGGCCTCACAGTAGAGCATGTCATCGCTGCTCTGTGGCGCTAACACGGTCTCAGTTCTGTCTGGAAGAAAAATTCATCTCCTTTATTATCCTGGGAATGACACCTGTTACTGACGTCCCTGGGTCCTCACTCCCTTCCTCTGGCTCCGGTCTTGGATGCAGCCCTGCCAGGGTGACTCTGTTTTAGGAGCCCTCCCTTTCTGACACACTGCTGCCTTGAGGGGTTATGCGGCAAACGCTCCCTGGGGACTGACTGGCTTTCTCCTGTCCCGTTTCCTGGATGGGACATGTCTTGGTGGGTTTCTTGCTCACATTTTCCCCTGGAGCTGTTTCAGGATCTGCAGTTACTCGGTCAGGTAAAAGAATGTGTTTCCAAGCCCAGGCTTCCTCGTCCTCAGGAACAAATGGTGCTGGGGGAGGGGGGTAGGGACCATGCAGGTGGTGACTTGAGTCAAATGCAAAGTAATATGGACCAGTAGTAGAACCATTGAGCAAGGGACAGAACTTGTTTCCTAAAGAATTTGACCTAGGTTTTCCTCCTTCCAACCCAACATTGTTTTTGTGACCTGGAAGAAGAGGCAGGAAAATCCACTTTAGGTCAAAATTGATTGATTTTTAAAATAAAAAAAATTTTTATTGGGGCCAGGGATTTAGCTCAGTTGTGCTGCCACCTGCCTTGCAAGTGAAAGGACCTGAGTTTGATCCCTGGTACCAAAAAATTTTTTTATTAAAACATGTTTTCAATACATAATGATTGCATTCATCACAGGAGTTGGTACATGTACATTACACATTTCAATTATTTTATTTGCTTTAGACAGAGTCTCACTTTATAGGTCAGGGTGATCTTGAACTCACTATGTAGCCCAAGCTGGCCTTTATATCTCCTTCTTGTCCCTTCCCTCCATCTCTTGCTCCCCTTCCTTTTGCAAAAGATCTATCTCCCTGTTTCCTGTTAGCTGTCTTTTATTTTGCTCTTAATTTATTTATATTTTGGGTTTCTCATGTAAGAAAACTCATGCCATATTTGAGCTTGTGTGTCTGATTTATCTCACTTAGCATTATCGTCTCAAGAGCATCCATTTTCCTACAAATGACTCAAATTTATATTTCTTTATGGCAGAGTAGTACTCCATCATGTATAGACATCCTGTTTTCTTTACCCAGTCATCTGGTGACAGACATATAGGCTGCTTCCAAGATTTAGCTATTAGAACTGTGCTGCTATAAACATGGGTATGCGTGTGTCACTGTAGTATGATGTCTTTAACTCTTTTGGGAAGATACCTAGAAGGCGAATGGCTGGGTCAAATGGAATTTCTAGGTTTTGTTTTTTGAGGAATCTCCATACTGGTTTCCATAGTAAAGGTGCTAGTTTACATACCCATTAACAACATAGAAGTAAGTGTTCCTTTTCCCCCATAGCCTTGACAGCATTTGTTATTATTTCATTTCTTGATGATAGCCAATCTTTCTGGACCAAGATGGAATCGCAGTGTTGTTTTAATTTGCATTTCTCTAATGGCCAGAAATGTTGAACATTTTTTCAAATATTTATTGGACATTTATAGTTCTTTTTCTGAGAAGCCTCTATTCATTTCCATTGACCATTTTTTGGTTGGGCCTTTTATTTTGGGGGAGATCTAATTCTTTTAGCTCTTTATATATTCTAGATATTAGTCCTCTGTCTGAGGAATAGCTGGCAAAAAATTTTCCCATTCTGTAGGTATCCTCATAATTCTGTTTGTTGTTTGTTTTGTTGAAGATTTTTTTTTTTTGGTACCAGGGATTGAACTTGGGTCCATGTGCTTGTGAGGCAGGTGGTGGAACCACTGAGCTAAATCCCTGGCCCTGAAGAATTTTAATTTGATATAAGCCCATTTGTTGATCCTTGATGTTATTTGTTGCGCAATTGCGGTTCTGTTCAGAAAGTTCTTGGCTACGCCTGTGTCTTCAACAGCTTTACCTAATTTTATCCTCCAGCAGATTGTTTTTGTTTTAATATTTACATCTTTGATCTATTTTGATTTTAGTTTAGTACATGTGAGAGATATGGGTTCAATCTTCTGCTTGTGTATAGTCAGTTTTCCTGGCACAATTTGTTCTTTTTCTTTGTTTTATGGTCCCTTTGTCAAAGATCAGATGGCTGAATGTGCCTGAAGTTGTTTCTGTGTCCTCTATTCTGTTCTATTCGTCCACATGTCTGTTTTTGTGCCAGTGCCATACTGTTTTTATCACTGTAGCTTTGTCATGTAACTTGAAACCTGGGACTGTGATGCTTCCTGCTTTGCTCTTATTGTCCAGGATTATTTTTGCTATTCTAGGTCTCTTCTGGTTTCATATGAATTTTAGGGTTGTTTTCTGTACTTCTGTGAGTAGTGTTGTTGGTATTTTGATTGGGATTGCATTAAATCTATATATCAATTTTGGAAGTGACCATTTTGCCAATATTGACTGTTTACCCAGGCACAGGTATATTTTCTTTCTTTTCTTTCTTTCTTTCTCCTTACTTCTTTCCTTCCTTCCTTTCTTTTTTTTTCGGTACCGGGGATTGAACTTGGGACCTTGAGCTTGTGAGGCAGGCAGCAGCAGCACTGAGCTAAATCCCTGGCTCCCTTCCTTTCTTTTTTGAGACAGGATCTTGATTTGTAGCCCAGACTGGCCTCAAACTTGTAGCAGTACTCTTGCCTCAGTATCTGAGTACTGGGATTACAGGCATGTACCCCCACATTTGGCTAGTCTATTTTCTGATGTCCTCTCTGATCTCCTTTTTCTTTTGTCATGTAAGTCTTTCACTTCCTTTGTTAGGTTAATTCCTAAATATTTAGTTTTTCTTGATGCTATTGTGAATGGTATTGTTTTTCTAAATTCTTTCTCAGTGGGTTCATTATTGGTGTACAGGAACACTATTGATTTTGTTTTGTTTTGTTTTGTTTGTTTGTTTGAGACAGGGTCTCACTATGTAGTTGTGACTGACCTGGAACTCACTATGTAGCCTAGGCTGGTCTCCAACTCACAGCGATCCTCTTGCCTCGGCCTCCCAAGTGCAGGGATTACAGGTGTGCGCCACCATGCCCAGCCACTATTGACTTTTATAAGTTGATTTTGTGTTCTGCTATTTTGCTGAATTTATTAGCTCTAGGAGTCTTTTGGTGGAATTTCTTGGTCTTGGGTCTTTTATGTAAAGGATCATGTTGTCTGTGAACAAAGATAGTTTGACTTCTTCCTTGCCTATACATACCCTTTTTATTTCATTCTCTTGTATGACTGTTCTGGCTAAAGTTTGAGTACTATATCAAACAGAAGTGGTGACAGTGGACATCCCTGTCTTGTTCCTCATTTTATTTTATTTTTCAGTACCAGGAATTGAGCTCAGGGTCTCACACTTGCCAGGCAGGTGCTGTGCCACTAAGTTACATCCCTGGCCCTTGTTCCTAATTTTAGAGGAAAAAGCTTTCAGTTTTTCACCATTTACTATGATGCTGGCAGTAGGTTTTTCATAACTGGCTTTTATCAGATTGAGATAAGATCCTCCTACACCTATTTTCTTTGTTTTGGTACTGGGGATTGAACTCAGGACCTTGTGCTTACAAGGCAAGTGCAGTGCCACTGAGCTAAATCCCTGTCCTTCCTACACCTATGTTCTTCAGGGTTTTTAACCACAAACAGGTGTTGGATTTTGTCAACGGCTTTCCTTACATGGATGTTCCACACTTAATAGATGTTTTTCCACCGGGCTCTTGATCTGCATCTGGCCAGGGGCTCTTGAAAGCCATACCTGAAGTTAGAGCTGAACCCTCTAGTATTAGCAGGTCTTAGTAGGGGCTTTGAGTAGCTACACTGTGCCCCCAGATGTCCCAAAAGAACATGGACAGCCTTCTCTTTGGGTAGGTGAGCATTTGTGGAAGGGGGCCCATGTTCGAGGATGGTGGGATTCCTAACAAGTCCATGCATACCTGTCTTTCTTGCCCATAGACCAGGGCCCCAATATTTATTTACTAGCCTGTGAGACAAAGTCTGTGTGATGTGGGGGGCAAGTATCAGAGGCCTGGTGGTTGGGGACATACAGCAGCTGAGCTGCCAAACTTCCACAAGTGCCCTGAGAAAGTGATATTTCTGAGTCTCAGTTTTCTCATCTGTCAAACAATTTTAGAATTCCATTCATCCCATGGGATGCTGGTAAATATTTAACCACTGGTTATCCAGGAAAACAAACAAAACAATAAAAAACAAATTTTGATTCATAATGTGGGCCAATGTATGTGGTGTAAATATTCCCAAGATGACTGATTTCTAACTACCAAGGTGAAGTCAACCGTCTCACAAAATAAAAATGAAAGTTGGCTAGAACCAATGTGAGCAACTGCATCACAGCACCCAACTGTCCCACTGATTGCCAGCCCTGAACCCGAGTCAATGCAACCCAACATCCCAGTTCTAGAGGGAAGCCGGAAGAGAGAGAAGTGGTTTTGGGGCCCACATGGTCACCGGGCACTCCGCTGCACAGCCTAGGAGAGCCCCAGAGGTGAGAGATGGGATGTCTTGTTCACCTTTTGTCTCGTCCTCAAGAGGCTCGTCACTGTCCATGATACCAGGGCTCTCTGGAGGGCTGCTGCCTGCTTCTTGCCACCTCTCAGCTGCCTCCTAAGAAGCCTGCCTGTCCATTCACCTCTGACTCAAGCTGTGTGTCCTAGTCTTGGATAGGCAAATCCCAGGGGTGCCTGAAACCATCCCTCTATCCCAGTGAGCTTTGGGGAAAGAGGGCTTTGGCAGGAACTGGATGTGTGTACGGTTGACCCCAATTCTGTCTGGGATGGGAGCTACCCCGCCAGTTCCCCAGGGAGAGTGGTGCAGCTCGATTCCTGAGAGCCCTGTCGAAAAGATGCCCACCTGCCCGTGAAATTGTGACTTAGGGCCACGTGATTTCAGTCTCAGCGTTCCGTGACCTCGTACAGTCATTGTGATCCACTTGGGGGGATGTGGCAACCATGGGCCTTCCACCCTCCTGGTGGTTCAGTCATCTTTTCTCACATGACTGCTGGGGTTAGGCCCAGGGTTGGCTGTGAGTGTCTGGGTGTTGGGCAGGGGTCTCTCAGTGAGGGTATATTTCTCTCTGAGTAAGGACCAAAGCTCAGCCCCTTAATCGGTGATGGTGAAGAGCTACCACCATGTTCGTCTCTCAAGGTGGCCCTGCTTCGGGTACCAAGTATTTCACTGATGGGTGAAGTTGGTTTTCTTCCACCCAGATTTCCCTGTTTTCTTTTTCCCTTGGGTGGGCATCCTCAATCTTGGAGCAAATGGTAAAAAAGCAAAATCTGATAAACATGTTTTATCACTGCAGTTTTTCAGCCAAAACACTGCTCAATCCAAACTACTGGGCTGCCTAAGTGGAAACCTCTCAGCCATCGTTCCCACACCTTGCTGCTCTCATCTGTGTGTGGAGCTGAATTTCAGGGACAGTTTGCTGGCAAGAGACCCCGGACGCGTGTTTGATTCTTCTCAATAAGCTTTCCGTGCATCAACGGTCAGGTCAGTGACAGAAGGGCTTGGGAATATGAAAATCCTTCTTTGTCACTCAGAAGAATGATGAAGATCTAGAAATCCGTGTAGGAAAAACGTTGTTAGAATCCAAGATTAAAAGAAAGATGTACACCTGAGATGTTATTCATTCCTTCAGGCTTTCATTCTAAAAATGCTTATTGAGCACTCACTGTGTGACTCATCACTAAGATAGGCAACACTGTACGACAAGGATGAGGCACGATAAAGATAGGGACTTTTTGGCCGGGCATGGTGGCTCATGCCTGTAATCCCAGCACTCGGGAGGCTGAGGCAGGAGGATCGCTGTGAGTTCAAGACACCAACCTGAGCTACATGGTGAGTTCCAGGTCAGTCTCACTACATAGTGAGACCCTGTCCCAAAAAAAAAAAAAAAAAAAAACAACAACAACAACAAAAAAAAAGATAAGGACTTTTTACGGTGTGTGCGAAGCAAGATACTATAGATATACTGACAGGGCTACCTGTAGGACAGGGTCCTGGGCAAATATTTTTGTTAGAGTTCCTGTTCACACAAATGATGTGAGTCACCCTAAGTCAGCGTGACAGAACTATTCTCGGGCCCCTGTGGTTCCAAGGAAGGCTGGAGGATGACCAGCTCCTGACAGCTGGATGTAAGTCCCAGAGACCAGCAGTGCATCTGGTTGGCTGTCCATTGGTGCAAAGGATAAGAGAGCATCATTAAAGAGGGAACAGGAGGGCCGGGGATTTAGCTCAGTGGTACTGCGCCTGTCTCATAAGTGCAAGGCAGTTTTTGAACGTATGATATTCCTGCTTCAGCCTCCCAAAGTGCTGACATCATGGGCATGCCTGTGCTATCATGCTATCCTGATAAGGCTTGTGTTTTGATGACAGGGGGGCTTTGCAGAAATGTTTTAAGCATCAGTGTTTCCTAAGAGGGTTGCAGAGCAGAAAGATTGCTCTGGGGGCAGTGTGGAAGGTGCTGAATGAGGAGTGGTGGCAGGGATGAAATGGACTGGCTGAACAGACATGAAGAAAGTTGAACCACTAGAACTCAAGAGATCAAATAAAAAGTGAAAGAGAAGAAAAATGTAGGGGTCCTGGGCAGCTCAGTGGATGATTTGTTGTTCAAAAAGATGATCAAGGGACTGGGAAATGGTTAATTTGCAGGATGACGATGGACAGAAGGTGATGAACACATGTTTGGCTGTGTTGGATGTTTGAGCTAGCTCGGGAACAGTCATTGGAGAAGTCTATTGGTAATAGGATTTGTGGGTCTGTGACCCAGGAAAAAGATTTGGGTTTAAAATGAAAGTATGAGAGCCAGGGATTTAGCTCAGTGGCTCTGCACCTGCCTCACAAGTGCAAGGTCCTGAGTTCAATCCCCAATACAGGGGGAAAAAGAAAAGAAAAGAAAAGAAAAAATTAAAACATGAGCGTTTTCAGTACATGGATAGTATTTGAAACCATTTCAGTCATGAAAATTTATCAAGGAGAGACTTAAGAGTAAGAAGAAGAGAGAGATGAAAGAGCACGCTCAGCAAAAAGACAGTGGCCATAGGACCAAAGTGAAGGATGTGAGAACAGAACGTACACGGAGATGGTGGAAGGAGGCGAGCCTGACACAGGAACCAAGGGAAGGCTGCACTTCAGGGAATAAGCGTGAAAGAGGCATGACGAGGACAGGCACAGAGGCAGACAGCTCTCTCTAGAGGGCTGCTGTGAAGCACAGGTGGAGAGAGAGGGGCAGCCAGAGGGGCCGTGGAGCCAAGAGAGGTTTTGGAATGAAGGAGAGACTGAACAGATTCCAGCATTGGTGGGAAGGAGCAATGCAGAAAAAGAGAGGGGCAAGTGGGAAAATCTTTACATCCCGGAGGCAGGAGACGGGATTCTGAGCGTGGTAGTAGGACCAGCCACTGCGTGGGAAGCAGAGGCAGATGTGGATGCTGGTCCGTGGGGAGCAGAGTTTCCCTTTGGTGGTTCTGTTTCTTCTCTAAAGTGGGCATAAGCAAGAAGGGAGGCAGTAGGACAGCAAGTCAAAGACAAGAGTGAGGCTGAGGTGAACAGTGATGCGTGCTTGGTAAAACTGTACTGAATACAAGAAAAAGTGCGTGAATGAATGCATCAACGCAGACTATTTTGGCACAATCTGGGGACATCTGGCTACAAATCCTGAAGCTTTGAAGAAAACACTAGGCTCAAAGGATTCGGGTTTCTAGAGGTGGTCATGGGGTGGCTGTTATAAGAGTTGCAGATGCATAGTTCTTTTCAGCCTGCCCTACTGCACTGGCTGAGCTCTCTAGATATGTATTGGTTTAGAGTGGAAGCCACTCCTTATAAATCACTTGTAGATATTCAGTACTTGAAATGTGGTTAGTCCAAATTGAGATGTGATGTCACTAAAAAACACATGGGATTTCAAAGACCAAGTATAAAAAAAAGAATTAAAATATATCATTTTAAAACTAAAAAAAAAAAAAAAAAAAAAGAACATGATGGTTCAGACACAGTGACACACACCTGCAATGTCAGTTGCTCCAGAGACAAATTTGATTGAGGCGGGAGGATCGCTGTGAGTTCGAGACCAGCCTGGACTACATAGTGAGTTCCAGGTCATTCTCAACTACATAGTGAGACCCTGTCTCAAAAAACTAAAACAAACAAACAACAACAAAAAACTCAAACAACAACTAAAAAAGAAATATATATATAATTTTAAGATATTGATTATATGTTTTGTTTTTTTGAGACAGGGTCTCATTATATAGTTCAGGCTGGCCTCGAATTCATGGTGATCGTCCTGCCGCAGCCACCTGAATGCTGGGATTACAGGCATGTGCCACCACACCCAGCATGATTACATGTTAAAAAGCTATTTTGGTGGTTTGTAGGGTTAAATGAAACACTATTAAAATTAATTTTACTTGCTTTATTTACTTAAGAGTATTTTTACTTTTTATATGGATAATATATATATATTTTTTGGGGGTGGCCAGCCAGGTGCTTGATTACTGAGCTACACTTCCAGCCCCTACTATAAAATTTGAACTTACATATGTAGTCCACATTATTTTTCTTTTGGACAGCATTGCTCCAGGCCTTGGTCAGCAGCCTCTGCAATACTGAAGGAATCATTATATTGTCCCCTGTAAATGGCACAGATGCAACCAATAAGTCAGCCCATTGAACTTCCATATATACTGTAGTTATAAATAAAATTTGAGCCCTTAAGGGCCTTAAGTTTCCTGAGTACAGAAAATGCCCCTTTAAAAAGCCTTTTAAATCCCCCAAGAGTTGCAGATCGTTCCACTTGCCGCATTAGATGGGCTTCGCGCCTCGAGACCACCCTTTGATGAATGCTCACCACGGCAGTCATTGTCATCAAGGTTGGGATAAGTTGAGGAGCTCATCCTGCTCTCGGATTCTTTCTAACATGATGAGGCTGGAAATAGTGCAGATGGTACTTATATTTTTCCTTCGACTGGGAAGCCTGAGTAGGCTACACATCCCCAGGCCAACTCCCGTTGGATTCTGCAGTGACTGGCTCCTTAGCAATGCCATATAGCAGCCTGGAGGGCAGGAGCCTTATTCAGGCTGATGACTGTGGAAGAAGGCGCTGCGCTCACAGTGGCCAGGGATGTTTTTCGCCCAAGTTAAAAAGAATGCAATTGTGAACAACCGAGAGCTTCCCTGGGCCAGACATGGTCAGGAAAGTGAGGCTCCAAGAGGTTAAGTAACCTGAGAGCTTCCAGGGGTAGCTAGTGGCAGAGCTGGGATCTGAACTCAAGGTGGCCTAACTTCACAGCTTGTGGTTCTCCTATGGCCTTCCACTATCCAACATAGCTGCTTATGGGCCAGGGAACAAACACAGGGATGCCCACTTGGCTAGTCTCAGGAAAAGCCTCTGCAGAGCTACGAATCAGCTGGCTTGCCACACTTGTGCTCTGAGCAGCCCAGCTGAGGCCAGATCCTTCAGCAGAGGCATCTGAACTATACAAACAGAATAACCTGATGAGTGTTTGAAGGCCTCAGCCCAGATCTGTGAAAGCACATTAGCAAAGATCACCTAAAAATCTGTATTATAAAAGCATTTTCCAAGTAGGTAAGGAAAACATTACCTCACAAAATGATATACGTGGACTCCAGATAAGTACCTTGATGAAATATCTGATTTGGAACTTGGACTTCTGGGTACCAAATGGAAGGAGGGTACAAGGTGTGTTTAAGTCAACCATGTGGAAGGAGGGCTCCTTAGGTAGAGCTAACATCTGCGGGCTGGTTTCTAAATGGCTTCCTAGCCTGCAGATTTTGGGACTTCTGGTTTACCTCAGGCAAAGGGATGGGTGCTGCTGCTGGAGGCGGACACTGACGCTTTCTGGAGGTACCGCGAATGGCCTGAAGGTCACAGTACTGACTTTCTCCTTCCTCCTTTTAGCCCTTCCTTGTTAGGATGTATCCAGCAGGTCCAGGATCCGGTGACTTCCCAGAGGGCCTCCCTGAACAACCAAAGCTCCAGCCACAAACTGGAAATGGTGCAGCTCAGACAATGGGTACTGAAAGTGGGTGTATTTCATCATCCTTGCTTCTTCATAGCATGGTTAGAGGAGAAGATTGAAGTGGGAACTGGGAAAGAGACACTCAAAGAGGTCTTTGAGTAGCACAGTATTGAGGGAAGAACTGACCATTATTTAGTGATGAACACTTTGTTCCATCATGGATCCTCGCAGCGGGCAATAGCACAGTATTAGACACATATCTCAAGGGAAACAAACCATCAGTCAGACGTGTTCCTGAGCTTTACGGAGTCCCTTCCTTCCTCCTTCCATCCACTCTTACCCACTAGACACCCTCTTTTTGCCATATTAGGGGGAAAAGGACAAATTTGGAACAGGTAGTGAAGGCAAAATCAGTGTCCGAAGCAAGGGGGAACTCAATTTATAACCTAGAATCTGAGTTGGGGAAGACTAAATAAAGGCAGGAAGAGGAAATAGGGGAAGAGCTGCCTTCCTCTCCACCCTCGCCCAAGAGCCAGATTATAGAAATTAGGTTTAAGAGGCACTTTAGATAAAGAAAGTCCAGCCCTTCATATTACAGTGGAGGAAACAAAGGAAGAAAGGACATACGTAGGCCCGAAGGTAGAAGCAGCAGAAGTGGGAAAAAAAGAACTGTGCCTCAGAATGATACTATGAGCCTTTGGTGAGGTACTCAATTTTATTTATGTATTTATTTACTTGGCACCGGGGATCGAACTCGAGTCCTTGCACTTGCGAGGCAGTGCTGGAACCACTGAGCTAAATCCCCAGCCCGAGGTACTAAAAATGGCTTTTTTCAGGGGATTTACTTAGCACCAGGGATCAAACTTGGGTCGACGAGCTTACAAAGCAGGAACCGGAACCACTAAACTAGACCCTGGCTCCCTACAGTACTCAATTTTAAACCTTTGCATTCCACAAGTAGAGGAGCTTCGGGTTAGGGTTAGCTCCTCCCTCCCCCTGCGGCGCTCACGGCCCTGAGTTATCAATAAAGTTGTTGTTGAAACGGGTGGTCGG